GCTGGAGGTCTGTATGGGAGAATCTTGACCGAGGTCGTGAGTACAGACCGAACGCAGTGAAAGAAAAAAAATTTAATTCGTTTAATGTAACTGGTTTGCTGACATTTTCCTTGCGAACAGCGATGAACTTAACATAAACCTACCGAAATTTGCTCGTCCTCTTCACTTTTTTTTTTTGTCATCAGGCTTTTTGGCACTTCCATAAATGATTGAGAGGAAAATAAAAGAAAATGGTGAACATTTTTGTGTTTGCTACTTTTTCAACGCAAAATGAAACCGGTCTAGATGCCGGTCTAGATGGGAAAATCTAGACCGCGGTCAATATCGATTTCAGCCAATCAAATTCATGAATTTGGTAGTTCCCAGTCCTTGTGAGACACAGCCGTATAATAACATAAGTTAACTGTACTTATAAATACTTTGATTTTACATTTAACTTGTCGACCTTTTAGCCTGCACAGGAGAGATTGACCACCTTCTTGAGGGAGTATGGGCAATTGATCGAACAAAAAACAAACGAACAAACAAACAATGATGTAACACAGATAATAAGTCGCTTACTCTGAACAAAAGTTATTTGCCCTGCCAAAGCAAGCAAGATCAGACCTGTGAGGTAAGAACAAATGCATAATTTAATGAATTTTATTGTTGTATTTTGTTTAAATTTTATTGCTAATTTGAACATGTATATATACAACATTTAAGCTTATTATAATTAATGTACATTCAATTGATGTAGTACAACAATGCTTAATGTCAACAGATTTAATGAATATTTATATCAATTGTATTTTTTTAAGGAATAAAACCCTTTTTCTGTTTCTACACTCAAATGATAAATTCCATAGCCAGGCCATGATCATCGCATTCCCAAGATTTATAAACAATAGCCTCCATTTGTAGCGAAAATATGCTCGGATATTTGTCTGCAGACAATTTACTGTTCCAAGAAGTGAACAGTTTTCTGAGAGCGAAGCTCAAGGAAAACTGTGAGCTTTGAGGAACAGATAATGTCCAATGACAAATATCTGAGCATATTTTTGTGCCAAATGGAGGCAGTATTGTGTTTATTATCCTTCAAATATTTCTCGTAACACGTCTGGTTTGGAAAATTGGGGAATATCACTGGGATATTCCCCAGTTTTAGTTGGGGAATATTCAGTTACGTGATGCCTTTAGCACGCAAGCGAAAATTTTTGATGGATTATAATTATAATTATCATGAATTTCTTTTTTCGTATTTGTGTTGACATGTAATATCCTCTATGCATTTTGCACAACCTCATCCAAGAATAGTTGTTTCAAAATGTAAAATTTACTCTACCTGTTCTCTGGTGGTTCAAAGTAGGGAGTGACTTAAAGAATTTAAAAAATAGATTTATTTATTCATCTATATAGTAACTCAAATTATTCTGACTTGCAGTTTGATTGGTTCTAATACATGTACTTGTGATCTATTGGATCGGAAGACAGTTTGTTGGTTTCTTTATTATATAAAACAAACAGTTTCCCATATGTTGCCACACGTCTGTTCAGTGATCACAGAAGACATCAAAATGTTGTCAGAACATCAGTGACACACTTGCCTAAGCTTGTGTGCCATTTTTGTTCTTACCACATTTTGAGGTCATTTGTGCTGGAGCTATTACTGAACAGATGCACAGCAACATGGAATCTATTTGTTAAATTAAGCCACAGCTGACACAAGATCCTTCAAATCAATTGCTAGATTTACATAATAAAATGAGCCAGCCTGTCATATTTATTATCAGGCAACAGTACTCATCTACATTTAAGTTTATGTTTGTTTTGAAGTGTTAATAATTTTTAACAACTTGATTCACTATTGTGCTACACTTCAGAAATGAGACTGCATTTTTTCACTGTGAAAAAAACAGCAATGAATATAAATATAACTCCTGCAACACTCTGGTGTAACCATAATCCCTAGAGATTTAAATGACAATGGAATTGATCCATGAGAGCAGAAAATTGCACATGCATGGTGTTTCTGCTCTCTGGTCACTTTTTAGATTTCTGCACGGCTCTGATGTACCAGTATAATTACAAGGAGT